CTATGTTTTCCTAACATTTACGTGTCTGAAAATTTATGTTGTACTGCAGTCTCCGGTACCCAAACAATCCGGCCATCAAAGTGACTGGCGAAAAATTGATTTTGGTCCATCCATCCCTTTGCAATCATGAACAAAAAAAAACTATTAATTTAATCAATTAATCAAAGATTAATAAAAAAAAAATTTTAAAAAATCAACTTTTGTTTCTTGTCGAAAAGCTTGATTAGAAGTACTTGGATACCTATCTCAATGGAATATAGGGAAAGTCACAGCTGTTGAAAGCAAAATAGTCCACTTAATAGGGTTTTTCATATTTTAATTAATAAGAATTTAGGTATTAATTAATAAGAATTTAGGTAGAAGTGTAAAATTGTGTGAAAGGTAGTATAAAATTTTTAAAAATAACTTGATACACATATGATAAATTTAATTAATATTTTTTCACTTATGTAAGATATAAAATTAGATTTCCACATAATCTAAAACAAAATTCTAACTAAACCACTTAAGAACAATTTTTTTTTTTTATATTTAGTAACCTATATTATATTTAAATTAAATTTAATAAATTCAAAATTTTATAATAAATTTTTGACTTCTGAACATAATAATACTTACTGAATACATAAAAAAATAAAAAGTCAAAACAAAAAACAAAACCAAAATCATACTAAACAAAGTCTAGCTTATACAATCTCCTATTTTCTTTTCAAAATGATAATTAATTTTTGACTGACAAGAATTTGGCAAAATCCATTTTTAATAGTCTTTAAAAAAAAAAAAAAAACTAAATAATGTGTTGAACCTAAGTTCAATATACTATCGTTAAGCACGACTACATTATATGGTCCAATAGATTACAGACCTACATTTATATAAAACAGCATAAGAGAGCTTAGACATAAATACCATAAACAACTGAATTTGTTTTAAAAGACCAAAAAATAAAAAACAAATAAGTGTTAGTGCAATCTAATTTTATAATACCCAAAAAAAAAGTATATAATCTAAATTACACAATATAAATTATTAAATAAAAATGAGTCACTTAATATCAAAATTATCCCACATCCAACCGAAGAGATCTCAAAAGAAAAGGCAAATACAATATTTACTATTTGAATCCATGGGCTTATTTTCTCCTTGCTGTCATTTTCTTGTGCCATATACAGGCTGCCACCAAGATACATAACCAGCTGCTTACTCCATGGTACATACAGTGTCTGGACCTTGTTTTTCATAGGGTTACACACTAATTTTTATTTTTAACTATAGTACATAGGATAATTAAAAGCAAGAAACTCACATCAAATGAAAGGGCATGAAGCTTGTTACTGCAAGCAATCTCTAAGATGGCAGAGGGAAACATGCAAGCATCATTTTATGAGAATGCATCTTACAGGCGAACCTTCAGCACCAAGCAACCTCAGAGGTAAGCAGTGGACGGTATATAGTCCAGCAGGGACATCGTCGAGTTTTAGGGCTTCCACAGGAATGATTTCCTGCAGATGATGAAATACAGCTGTTAAAAACACATCTTGCTCCAATTTAACATTGAATCTAAAAACTCTAGGATGAAATTTCATGCCCCTTTTCAAGTAACCAATAAAGCTAATCAGAAAAACAATCTAAGTTTAGTCAAATATTTAGAAGCCAAACTAGGGAAAATCAAAACTAGAAAAGAAAAAATGTTTGAACCTTCTAACTCAAAGTATGACACAGATAATCACCCTTTACATAATTTAATGAATTACAAATTTTACAATGGAATATTCATAATTTTCTTACCCTTCCTTCAAAAAATTCAAGATGAGCTGGTACCAAATCATCATCACATGCTACTGATAAGTAATCAACTCCTACAAGTTAAAATAGATGATTGTGTCAGTGCAACAGTGGGTTTTTCAAGGAAATGACATTGTCAATTCAAGATACTGGTAAAACAGTAAGGAAGCACCCAAAATTCAAATGAAATCTAGGGCATTATAAAAACTGAGGCAAAGAGTTTATGAAGTTGATTTAGCAACTGACAAAAAGAATGAGACATGTATGTACTGATAAAAAGTGATAGATGTCAGAATAATGAGATAGGCCATCCATGGTGCTCCATTTGCTAAGGTTTTACTCGTTGCTATCTGAAAAAGAGGGATAACTCTGTTTTTCTTTTCAATCCTTTTTATGCTCATGGCATTTAAACTCTTTGAACCCCACATCTAACGTTGGCTTCAACATACTTTATCTTACCAACAAGTTTGATGTCAGTGTTCTCTACCAACCACTTTGCACCGTCTGTTGTAAATGCAACGTAGCTGGAGTCAAACGCCTTTTTATACATAAGCCGCCTGAAATTGAATAACATTTGGATTTTAACATGTACTTCTTAGACTTCAAAATAGATGAATAAATTACAGAAAGAAAACAGGAAAGGAAATACCCTGACGACTATGTTGGAGGGCTAATGATAATATAACTCAGGAATTCATTCTAATATTTCTTATTAATTGGGAAATTCATTCTAATTGTTTTTACTTTAAGGCAAGAACAGAGAACTATTTGGAGAACACAACATTACACAATGCGATATTACCTATCAGTATTTAATGTTCTGAAAAGCACACGACGAACCCCCTTAGGAATTTTTAGAGATTCCATGACTTTAGCTGAAAAAACAAATCCATTTTTAATATATTACACCAGGATCATGAGAAAAACAGCACACAACTATGTAACAATCCAGAAACAATATCTAAACAGAACAATTGACCATCCAACATACCAGAATCTAGCATACTCAACACCAAGTCGCTAGAGTTGGCCAAGTGGTAAGAGGATCAAGTAAGGCACAATATATCAACTTTACAATTAATGTCAAACTCGAAAGACTAGTGTACTCATGATACTATATATGTGGAGTGATCCACTCACACACAAGTTTTATATACTGCACTTACATAAAATCTCCATTATTTTCTTCACTTTCAATGCTTGAGATTTATCACGACTTTTTAAATGAAAACAATAATTATCTTTAATAAATGTGAACAAATCTCAACAATTGAAAGTGAAGAGATGAATGGTTGAAATTTTATGTAAGTGTGGTGTTTAAAACTTGTGTATAAGTGGATACTTACTCTCTCCCTATACATATATATATAGATAAAAGTAGGGATCCACTATGCTTTATATTTCTTTAACGTGGACTTCACATTCACACTTATATGTGAACCCCTGTCACCGAAAATGCAACCTTGCCCGGTTCTTGAGGACAAGAAACAGTTTGCTCAACTAATTGGGCCAAATGTCCCAATACTCATATCATCTTAGAAAAAGTATAAGCAATACCAACTTGACTACCTTAATAGAAGCATCCTAGCTAGCCACTAGCAAGCCCAATTTGGCAATGCCAACAAAGAAGACATGGAACAAGTAATCCCAAGAAAAAGTTTCAGATTAATGTACCCGTAATGTTGCTGTCTCTTGGAACATCAACTAACAAAGCTGGACCTGTAAAAGCAAGCAGATTCAATCATTAACATGTTGCAATCCCACTAAATCCCATAAAACGTAATGAATCACAATCAAGTCAAGAAAAAAAACCCAATAAGAGTAGTCTTCCCAAGTAGGAAAACACTAACAAAGAAAATCCACCAAAATCCGAAAGGAAAAGTAAAAAAATGGCATACCATTAAGCACTTCGAGATCAAGGGTATCGACATCAAACCCAGCGTCAAAATAGCGGTCAATCATATGCCCTGGCGCATCCAGATGGGTACCGGAGTGCGTCGCCATCTTCATTTCGGAGTTATTAGCGAGAGAGCCGTTCTTCATACTGGCAGGGAGCCAGAGGAACTGGCCCATCCCATCATCCGAGGGCCATGACGGTAAGTCGGTCGTGTAACGGTGGGTGATATCAAAGATTCTCCCGCCACCATACACTTCTCGCCGAATAGGGACCGGACTTCCATCTCCAGAGGAGATCTTGCAGTCCTCTGCATCAGTGCCGGGGATGGAAGGGTAGGCTGAAGTAGCAGTGATTGGGGTGGCGACGGCAGAGAGGAGGAGGAAGAGGTGGAGGAAAGGAGCCATGGGTCCCGTCTTTTTGGAGTCAGTGAATTGCAGTTTGTGTGATCAGAGCAAGTAGAAGCATACAGAATGATTGAAGGAATGATATACTGAGGATATGATGGTGACATAGGAGAGATAAGATTCTTATAAGGGAATAGGATTCGTGTTCAATGTTGTTCGGATCGAATGAGATCACCGTCGTCCATTAAAATATATTCTTTGGGCCATTTACAAAAGAAATATATTTTTTAGCGGAAAGCCCAAATCCTGCGGGCTGGTCACTTGGTAAGTGGTCACTAATTCACCATGGTGAAC